TCTCTCTCTCTCTCTCTCTCTCTCTCTCTCTCGAAACGTCTGCCACGAGACAGGACTATAGGATTCACTACAGCATGTATATACATACGTACATATGCAGGTCGCGCGTTATGTACAGAGACGCAGAATTTGCTTCGCGAAGAGCGAGAAGGGCGGTAGGGTACGCGTTAACTTGTCAAAAGTTTAATCAATCTTCCGAGGATCCCTTGGAACGTGATTCTGAAATCTCGCGGATTATTGTTCGCAGAGAAATATCAGCTGTATTGGTCCGGAGATTATACCGTGGACATTTCAAACTTCACGAATCTCGCTGTCCAAGAGACGGGGCGCTTACCTCCGTTTAGTTTACGATACGCTACGATCGTCATACGACTGGACGAATCGAAGATTAACAATCCTTTCGAGCTGTCAAACCCCGTACCTACCCCGTTAATATCGCTTCGATCCATTAATCCATTTTGTCGATGCTGCGTCGATCGCGACACATCGGTTCATTTATAAAACACACATCTCGCCGATGCGAGCGATCATGGGTCTACTCGCGCACGCGGGGGAGGGGGGAGGGCGCATTCGCGCGTGTGTTAAATCGTCATGAAAAAGACTTGCGCTCGCGGCTCCAGCCGGAAAAATGCACGTGTGCGCGAGCGAGAGCGCGACTCGCGTGTGCGCGGGACGCGCGCGAGATTCCGCGAATGTGCGGAATTCGCGCCGATACGCGTCGGCGTGATGACGCGTGTACGTACGTCTGGCTTCGCGCCGCGTAGAACCACTCGCGATACGCGGGATACGCGCACGCAACAGGCGCGCGCGATCAACAGACCGTGACGATGGAGAGCGTGGTCGTCTTCGGCGAGGCGTAGGCGTGTATCGACTGGGAATACCTCGATTGTCAAATGCGCAGGGGGTCCGTGTGCGGATTCGCGTCGGGCTTGTGCCGCGCCGCGCAGAAGCTCAGGCCGAAGCACAGCATCAGCAACGCCACCGAGCCGACCAGCAAGTGACTCGACCAGGACACCGAGCACTTCCCTGAAACAGATGGCATCCGTCCGTCATCGACTCGACTCGACGATGATCCCCCTTGGCGAAATCCCGCCGATGGCGGGCGGTTCGCAGTTACCCACGAGAATTCCCCCTCGGGAATAGCTCGGTTGGCCTAATCGTCGTTCCGAGGTTGAATATAATCGTCGCCTGTAATGGCTTAATCAGCGTACCGAGTGGGCTAATAAATCGAGATGGGGGGGATTTGTCCTGCGATACGCATTCCATGGAATGAAGGGGATTATCACTAAGAGCTGTTCGAGAAATTGCAATTAGCTAAAAGATTACTTCTTAACTTCTTAACGACGCAACAACTAAGCGATAAAAAAAAAAAGATATAACTGCGACGTTATTGTCGCCAGTTTTAAAGATCAGATTATTGGCTCTACTCGTTTCAAATATAACAATTTATCTTACTATTGTCGCGATAAGAATAGTCAGAAATAGAGATAGAGAAGCGATTACGACCGTCATTTTATTCAAACGGAATAACAATATTATAAACGTGCATGAAATAAATATGTAATCAATATCGCCACTGATACAAATGGAATTAGTTACAAATCTAATTTAGCACTAAAATAATAGAATGTTAATTGCGATTGTGCGGCAATCGGGAATAACGATTCAGTTGGAACTTTAAATAATTCGAGCTTTTGCGCTTCTATCAGAATTTATAAACAGGTTTAATTTTCAATTCACAAGAGATATCGCTTAACTAACGGCGAACGCTTTATTGAAATACGCGATCCGCTCGTCATCGCTATGACGTCGATTTGATCTATCAACTCGATCTATTCCTGTAGCATCCACCTGGGATTGTTTGACACCTCTATAACGCGAATAGCGATGGATTATATGTTTCAGCTGAATATTTGATAATGTTCTAAAATCTTTCGTCGACATGAAAAATAAACGCATACGAAATCTCTCGAAATTGTCGCGGTTAATCTTATCGACGTGGTTTTCTCACGACTCATTATCATACAAAAATGTCTAGACTTGTCGATAAACTCCCGCTGTTATATTTGGAATTATTAAACATTTCAAATTTTTCTTACTCGACGATCTCTATTTTGACGCGATAGATAGTTCACGATAGATTCAGACGAATATTTTCTCCGGACTCGATCGTGCGGCTAATCTACCGGAATTGCAAATTTATCCGAGAGATGCGCGAGATTTATCCGCGTGCGGGATACAACGTATGCGTTCGCAATCACGGCGAATCACTAACAATCATCCCCTGGGTATTGAAAGGGTAAATCGCCGGATCGTCGATGTCGAATCGGATCGTTACGTGCCGCGTTGGGAATTACGAGGAAATCAGGAACTACGTTCGAGACCAGCGAGACGTGGATTTGCG